GATATTGTTTTTTTTTTTTTTTTTGAGGGGGGGTGGAGAGAGAGACAGCTCTTCGCTGTTGTTGTTGTTGTTGTTGTAAACAACGAAAAAGAAGAAGAAGAAAAAAAATAGGGGGTGGGTGGGGGGAGAAAAAGAAAAGGAGGTGATGTTTGCTTTGCACAGGGTTCGTCAGTTTCGCGTCTTTTCCGCACTGGTTGTCGGTTCGATTGTGTGTTGCGCGAAAAGGTGAGTGCCTTTAGTGAAGTCAAGGTTAAAGCCCCGGCTGACTGATTCAAGGGGGACCAAGGTGATTGTTTGCCCCCCCCTCTCTCTCTCCCTCTCTCTTCTGTCCTCTCCTTTCAGCGTCAACGAACCGGGCAACATGTCTTTCGTGAAGGAGACGGTGGATAAACTACTGAAGGGATATGATATCCGACTGAGGCCGGACTTTGGAGGTATGTTCGCCGTCAAAAAAGCAAAAAAAAACAACCCCCTCCATTGTCCCCCTCGCGCCTGTAGGCAGCTTTATTTTTGGCGCCACTCGCAGTGTTGTGGTCAGGTGTAGCGGTGTGGGCCTATATCCATATTCTGCTGTTTAACCTCTTCCAGGGGCCCCAGTTGCAGTCGGGATGAGCATAGACGTGGCCAGCATAGACATGGTGTCAGAAGTCAACATGGTGAGTGAATCTTTCACATTCAAATGTCTGTTTTCAGTGTGTTTACCCAACCGCAGTCCCCCCCACCCCCACCCCCACCCCTACCCTGGCACCCATACATCTTCATTTCCTTGCTCCCTTTGCTGTAAGAAGTGCTGATGTAAATCCAGCTTTTCCCACCCCTCTCTTTCTCTCTCTCTCTCTCTCTCTCTCTCTGGGGCCATTATGTGGTGTCGAGATGGATGGGCTGGGTTTCCTGTAAGCAGTAAAACATCTTTATCTCGCACGCTCGCCAGTACAGCGTTACCTTACATGCACAGAAAGCCTATGGGCGTCAAAGAAATCAACGTAACGCGGCCTCCTGCTCCTGTTTCCGACTGTGCTGATAATGCTCGCCATTCTCGGTTTAAATCCTTTTGCAGCCGACAGCCAGAGCAACCCGTTAGCTCTCACTTTGCACCGCTTGTTAACCTCTGGAGCCACAGCGTTCCTCCCAGGAGGACCTCCGAGCTAGACAGCTATCAGGGAAGCTCTGATTGGATTTGCTAATTTTGTGAGCCGGATTCCGCTCGCCCAGCGTTGACCACATGTACCCACATGCCCGGAAAGTAACTTCAGGCTATTCTATCTTAAAATATCAGCCGACGGATGACCCAAATTGCCTCGGCACCGTCTGGCCACATTTTCAATTCTTTTGCAGAGAAATCTGATTTAAAAAAAAGACACCAGATCGAATGGCCCGTTCAGGTTGCTCGTAACTGGTTTGGATCCGGGCTTTTGAAACCCCTCTGCTCTTGGCGCGCTTCACAGCCCATTGCCTGTGTAGGTGTTAACATTATGACTTTTATTAGATACGATGGCTGCTTGAGCCTCCATGGGCCGGCGAAGAGTCAAATTCAGGTCGGTCAGGACGCGGCGGTTTACACCTCGACCTCTATATGGGCACTCCATCAACTCGAGCGTCATCAAAAGTGTACAGAGCATCATTTCACACCTATGAGGTCTGTTCCTTATTGACCAGGAGGGAAAAGGCTAGATTTTTACTGCAGCATATTAGTAAATGATCATCATTTATCTGGTGGGAGGTGTGTGTGTGTGTTGATCAATACTAATGGTTCAATCATTTCTTTACCAGGTGGCCCCCGGCTTTGACTCGGGGGTTGAAACAAAAAGCTGCGTGTCCTTTGACATTCCAAGACACCCACAGAGAAACCCTGTCTCCTAGAAATGACATTTACACACTTTATTTGCTAAATATCTTTAGTGGGAAGTCAAAAAATGGAATACAATATTTATAGATGTGTTTCCACTAGTGTATAATTACCTGAAAGTAAGAATTGTTACGTTAGAATGAGGTGTTTTTATGTAGAGATTCAGCTCAGAATGGACAAACCAAACACATCTCTTGAGGTTTTTTTTTTATTTGCACGTTTCACGGCCACCGTAGTTTCTCTTTCGCACTTGGGAAGGCAGGGTGAAACTTCTAGTAAGTTGATGATTTGGAGGTTTTGGACTAAAAACAAGCAACGTGGACTACTTTCTGTCATATATTACAGTGTATTTTAACCGTTGTTCCATCAGCCTTGCTTTATACTTTTGACCTCGTACTTTGTGATCCTCAATTATTCTCCATTTATTAGAGATCATTCTTTATCTCTGTAAGTGTGTTATATGTTTTGTAACCTCCATGTTTTATGTTCTATGTGGTGCTGCTGTCAGGACACTCCTGTAAAAACTGAATCTCATATGTGTTTGAAATAATAACATATTCTACAGTGAACCCTACTGCTTTTAGCCGAGGCTCAGTGATCCATGCTATGAGCTTTGTTTGCCAACAGTTCATCTGCTAACATTAACCAGCGAGCCAGCTAGGCTATTCTCCGAAGAGCACACAAAGGCAGCGGATCAACCGGGGGAATCAGACAGCTGAGATCACACTTAAACTGATAATTAATTAGCTCCATTTCTCATCGCCACCACCAGTGCACTGGGGGACTGCACATGTGCGTCTGCGCTTGTTAGGAGAGGGACAATTTCGTGGCAGTCGTCCAGCGTTGAAGCCGAAACAAGACCGGTCAAGCTGTTTGTTATTTTTGCACCAGCGTTTGACATTTGGTGCGTGCTTTTCATCCGATGCCTGGACAGTCCGCGGTTTTAGCATGGGGGATTTGTCCCGCAGGAAATAGATAATGAGTGCTTTTGTTCTGACAGTGACAGTGCTTTGCTTTATCCACTGAGCAACACTATAAACAGCACAGCCCCGATAAATGCTGCACTCTATTTCTTTTATTTAAAGTATTTTCAAGTTATTAGGCTCCATGCTGCATTCATTTCAATAAAACTTCAGCCTGGTGGAATGACCCACAGGCATAATTGGGAGACAAGTTTTAAAAGTTGAGGATTTATCTGCTTGCTATGCTGAAATGAGGCCTGGATCCTTCGCAGCTTGTTCTACAAGGAGCGCAGATTTGCAAAACAATACTGCCAAATATTAAGCTCGATGTGACGTTCCCTCCCATGCAAAGAGAAATAACAGAATCACTGTATTATAGAACACAAGCATGTAAAGTGCCTGAGGTTTTTTTGCAGTTTCTGAGTTAAGGTCCCCGTGTTGCAGCTTTAGCGTGGGATTCTGATATCTAAAATCTCTTCTTGTAGAAAAACTAGACAAAAGTGAAGGGTCATTTTTCAGAGGTGGTAGTAGTGAGGTATAATGTTAACTGCAAATAATATTAGATGTTAAAATTTCAGATAAATGAGTGCAAAGGGCTAATTGAATCTGGGGGTTAAGGTTGAGGGGAAGGGGTGGCAAATGAGTGTGAGTCAATAGAATGTCCTTTATTACGAGGCAATGTACGTGTGCATGCATGCGTGTGGAGACTGTTTTAGAGAGAGGACTGATTGATGCGTGTAATGGGATGGAAACAAACAGGCATATCCTCAAATAGTCTATGCAGGTTTAAAGTGTATGCGTATATTATATAAGGGACTGTACACAAATTATTAGTGGGGTGGGGAGGTGAAAAATAGATACATTTTCTTTTTACTTTTTTTGTGAGAGCAGAGAGGGGCCATTTCATTTTTATCATTCCAAATGTATATTTTAGCCTTCCCCATGCATGATTAATTAAACTAACGAAACAAAAGTCTGCATCATAACAGAAAGTAAAACTCAGTCTGTATTATAATATAGCATTTTACTTAGTAGTTAAAAATAGAGTTGCTGGAATAGTCATCATTTTCTTTCTTTGCCAATTTGGAAATTGTTATCTTTTTCTAATGCTCACTATTGTGAAAATTATTTAACTAAAAGAGCTCTCCACTGACTCAACAGCAGTTCTATAACACCAAAAGGCTCACGATGTTTAAAAAAAAAAAAAAAAAAAAGTCAAAGCAGGCTGGTGCTTACATCACCCACAATGCAACTTGACTAACAGTTCGGTCAGAGATGCGTTATGGTAGCTAACGGCTAATGTAGCCTCGAGCCGCTTGCCTCAAGCAGAGATGAGGAGCAAGCTAAAGAGGTCTTTAACCTCGTTTTTTTTTCCGTTTTCCTTACTTTTTTATAGACCAACCCGACACTGACATCACTTGCAGTTCACACTTCAGATTTCAGCTTCACTTGAAGCATTTTATCAGATTTTTTGCCTCCGGAGCTACATATATGCAGCAGTACTAGTACTCCCCAATGTAAACAGACTTTGATATGTAAAATTGATGGAACTCCCATTTAACATATTAAGGTTCAAATAAGATTACAAGAAACATGCTTTTTAAAAAGTCAAATATGAGACTCAACCCTTGATCCCCACTTGTGTACAGTCCCTTATTGATGAGAACTTCCGAAGTGGGCCTGTGTTTGCTGCTCCACACTGTGCAGTACACTCCTCCATGTTGTATTTGATTCCCAGTGAGAGTTCATTTCATCAACCCCTACCAGAGTCAAAGGTTGCCTTTGCAGCGGCATTAGCCCTGGGAATTCTACAGGACGGAACACTCTGGCAATCAGCGGATCAACAGACCCCGAGACATGAAAGGGAGCGGAGAACTATAAGAGCTAAAGATTTATTGAGCGATGGGATCAAAAGATGTGAGAAATCCAGGCAAAAAGGAAAGAGGCAGAGAGAGGAGGTGGTAGCCGATAGAGACAGCGAGTGAACATGGCATCTGGCTCGTCCCAAGAATCCACCTGGCAGGGCAGGTTGACTGAGTCAGCCACTCCGACGCCTTCGCCGAGCGCGGAGCTCCTGCACTGGCAGATGCTGAAGTGACTGAGAAAGGCACACTAATTACCTCTGAGGTTTCTTTGTGGTGTGCCGGGGGCCTCCGCTGATGAGAAACACATACTAGGACAAGATCAGAGCAAGGCAAACTAGATTATGCGTGTGCTGAGGCAGTGCTTACTTGGAAACTAGTTGTACACTTAGGAACGGATCGCTTTGACAAAAGAAGTGTCGCTTGTAAGTGCTTGTTTTGCAATCCCACTCAGAAAGGGGAGTTTTAAAAGCTTTTTTTTTTATGTTGGACAATTGGTTTAATGTATGGTTTGCAGGTGGAAATGGAAGTATCACCTGAATTTACTAGAGCACAGTGTTTGCCTCCATTTAAAATGTTATGAAATATTGCTATTAGGGAAGTTTAAGAGCACAATAAGGGCACCGCGTGTAGGCGTGTTTTCATTATCATGACCTCCTCTCGCAAAAAAATGGATAAACAGGTGCGATTCTCTGCAGTAAGAGCCATCCGGGCCTTTATTCCGGGTCCATTATCTGTGCCTCGTGAGAGTGATTGTAATTTTGGGAAATTCAATCACGGCACAATGAAGGTAGAGCTCCTCGCACAGGGAACTGGTCAGAGTTTGCTCTGTGAATGTAGTTGCAGTAACAGGCTGAACAAGCTAGTCATCCGTACACCCACGGCTGCGTGTGGGTGTCAGAAAGAACAAAAAATCTGTCATTATGGAGAGGTGAAAAGATCTCTCTTTCTCCAAATGCTCCTGCTGCCCATTTTTTTTCAAATAT